CCTTAATCTCAATTAGGAGGGGAGAGGTGAATTTTTAATTACCGGGAGTCACTGTGAGCCGCGAAACTATTATTTTTCTCACTGGCCCATGATTTTCATGACAGTTTATATATTTTTTTGTTACAGAGATTAAGGGATGAAAGAGGGTTAATTGATGGGGAATTTAATTCTCCGTCGAACTGCCGTTTTTTCATCCCTTAATCTCAATTAGGAGGGGAGAGGTGAACTTTTAATTCACGGGCGAATGATGAACAGTAAGTGTGCGCCGCGAAAAAATTATTTTTCTTACTGGCCCTTGACTTTCATGGCAGTTTTTATTTTGTTGTTACAGAGATTAAGGGATGAAAGGGGGTTAATTGATGGGAAATTTAATTCTCCGTCGAACTGTGCTTTTTTCAGCCCTTAATCTCAATCAGGAGCGGAGAAGTGAATTTTTAATTCGCGGGCGAATGGTGAAAAGTAAGTCTGCGCCGCGAAAAAATTATTTTTCTTACTGGCCCCTGACTTTCATGGCAGTTTTTATTTTTTTGTTACAGAGATTAAGGGATGAAAAAGGGTTAATTGATGGGGAATTTAATTCTCCGTCGAACTATCCTTTTTTCAGCCCTTAATCTCAATCAGGAGAGGAGAAGTGAATTTTTAATTCGCGGGCGAATGGTGAAACGTCACTGTTCGCCGAGAAGAAAATTATTTTTCATACTGGTCCTTGACTTTCATGGCAGTTTTATTCTTTTTGTTACAGAGATTAAGGGATGAAAGAGGGTAATTGATGTGGAATTTAATTCTCCGTCGAACTGCCCTTTTTTCAGCCCTTAATCTCAATTAGGAGGAGAGAGGTGAATTTTTAATTACCGGGAGTGACTGTGTACTGCGAAAAAATTATTTTTCTTACTGACTCCTGACTTTCATGGCAGTTTTTATGTTTTTGTTACAGAGATTAAGGGATGAAAGAGGGTTAATTGATGGGGAATTTAGTTTTCCGTTGAACTGCGATTAAGGAATGAAAAAAGTGCACTTCGACGGAGAATTAAATTCTCCATTAATTAACCTTCTTTCATCACTTAATCTCTGTAACAAAAAAATTAAAACTGCCATGAAAGTCAGCANTACAGAGATTAAGGGATGAAAGAGGGTAATTGATGTGGAATTTAATTCTCCGTCGAACTGCCCTTTTTTCAGCCCTTAATCTCAATTAGGAGGAGAGAGGTGAATTTTTAATTACCGGGAGTGACTGTGTACTGCGAAAAAATTATTTTTCTTACTGACTCCTGACTTTCATGGCAGTTTTTATGTTTTTGTTACAGAGATTAAGGGATGAAAGAGGGTTAATTGATGGGGAATTTAGTTTTCCGTTGAACTGCGATTAAGGAATGAAAAAAGTGCACTTCGACGGAGAATTAAATTCTCCATTAATTAACCTTCTTTCATCACTTAATCTCTGTAACAAAAAAATTAAAACTGCCATGAAAGTCAGG